GATATCATTTTAAGGTTTACAGACATGTTGACATGTGGATATAGAAATCCAAAGCCGTGTGTACTTTAAACGTGAGAATTTATTAATTCTGCTCCAGAGAACTTTACACTTTCAATATTTCTTTTACCTATATTCCCATTGTTTTTATTACTTCCCATCCTGTGGTCAAAGTCTTTGACTTTTCTGCACTAAGGGTCATCCTTACTGTGGAATCCCCAAGTTATCATCAAACTTATTTTAGAGTTTGATGATATATCCAAGTCCAAGTTCTGGACTTGGATATATCTGATAAATCTGTCTCTAATAGTTTTATTATCATTAATTTAAATTTCAAGATGGCTGATAAATGAGTTGTCTAACAGCATCATTAAATCATACCACAAGTGCTTCTGCAGGTGGTCATTAGTGATTTAACATCACTGTTTCTATAATGTGGAGGAGGAGGATACCAGGCTGAGTTTTTTTCATACAGATTATGATTACTCAGGTGAATGGTGGGCGGGGAGGTTACTGTTTTTTCAACATTGCTTAACGAAAAGGAAGGTTTGAAATTATACAAAGTATATTAAACTAGGAATCTAAAGCAGGTTCTTTAAGGATTTAAGATGCATTGAAAAATACAATAGGTGAGAGTGTATGGGGGAAAAAATATAAAAAAAATAAAAACAGCAGATTTACAACTAATACTGAGAACAATGCTCGTGTTGTCAGTATTTGTAGTTAAAAGTTTCTTGTACTCCAAATGAGTTGTGACATTTCAATCTGACTTTAGAAATGTCAACACGTAGGTCACTGGGCAGATAGTCCTTCATGGGCTGCCATAATTTTTTATTTTTTTTAATAGTTAATGTTGCGTCTTAATTTTTCACTTGGAGCATCAAATGAAATCTAACGGATTTTCATGGTTTAAGAAGAAATTTTTTTTGTGCATGTTTAATTACATTTAGGAATTACACATTTGGGAATAACTATCAAAGCAAACTGATTGATAATTGACCAAATTAAGCAGAAGACCCACTGACTGATGATTGACCAAATGACCTTGTTGTAATCAAACACCTTCTTCTGCTATTTTTTTCTTTCTCAGTCTTTCTGGCTGAAGTATTTTTAACCTTTGTGCATCAGAACATTGCTGTATAAAATTGCTGTGATTTGATAGTCCCTATCACTTGCCTCACAATTATTCTTATTGGTTTTGGGATCATATTTGGCCTGGTTTCTTGATGCTTAAGAAATATCTATAATTTTTACTCCATGTTATCATTAACTTTTAACTCCAATGTGGACTTTGAAGAAATCAGTTTTCCTATTTTAAAAGGAGGAAAAAAGATAAGGGATAATTTTAGACCAGTGGTTCTTAACCTTTCTTGAGGTACCGAACCCACCAGTTTCATCAGCGCATACACTGAACCCCTCTGTAGTGATAAATAAAATATGATTTCCCCCCCCAAATTCAAGACATGGGGGTGACCGAACAAGAGCCTAATTGGGTCACCCCATGATCACTAAGTCTTCTTAAAAGGTAGAGTCTCTGAGAACAGTTCTTCAAAATATAGTCAGTGTTTTCAGCAAAGTTGAGCTGACTGTCCAGGAACGACCCAAATTTGCCACAGTTTCAACAGGTTGGCCATCGAGAGAAACTGGAACCACTTTAAGGTCTTGTTTAGACAATTTAATTAGTTCTACATTCTTAAGAGAATGAAAAATTAATAATAAATAATAAAGACTTTGCAGTATTCTGATTTAGTAATGTAATTATTAGTTGTGTTACCAGCCCCACGCCACTAGAGGCAGTAGCAACCCCTAAAAGATGCGACTAAGGAGCAGATTTAGAAGTACACAGAAAGCGACGATGAGCTTTGCTGAAGAAATTAAAGACACAAGTTCAAATCCATGCTGAGAGTGGAACTCCTTCAATCAGTGCTCCTCCGTAGCTCTGATTGGTTCAGCAATGTAACGTGATCCTCTGCAGCAAGTAATGGCAAAGCAGGGAGAGTCATCACGACTTTACACAAGTGTGTCTTTACCTCTGCGGCAGAGGCTCCGCCAAACCCCTGAGACCGACTCACCGAACCCCTGGGGTTCGACCGACCCCAGGTTAAGAACCACTGTTTTAGACAGAGCAGACTAACCAGGGCTGGAGAGAATGCATGCTTCACAATCTACCCTTGTTCAACTGGGGGCCATGGCCTCCAGTAAATACATCTTCATTTTTGCTTGACAACAAAGTTTCCCTGTACTTGGCACTTTGAGATAATCTGAGGTGGGAGTCTTCAGAATCCAATCCCTAGTTTCTAACCAGCTTTACAGACATAGACAATGCTTGTGAAGTTGATGAAACTAATATGGATTAAACTGTTACTTTAGTTCAAAATGATACACAACTTATAAATGTACATTTTAATAACATCTTTAAGTAAAATTTAATTTTTGCTATTATGATGACAGGTGGGAGATTAATAGTAATTTGTGTCACAATTTGTTTTCCTCTACAGCTTGTACTTCCTCCTGTCGTTGCTCAGTGTTACCACCATCCTGCAAAGACATGTGATATTCTAGGGTTTCAACAGTATGGGGTCACGAGAAGATAAGTTAGCCATTCACATGATAGGTCAGATGCTGAGTAAAACTCTGAACCTCTCACCCTAAGCATCTTAATATGCTTGTAAATCATAGTTGACAACATGACATGAAACATGGTGTGCAACAAATTTTAACCTTTCTGTTCACATCTTCTGATATTTTGAGGCATACTTGATACTTCAGCTTCAATTCTCAGTGTTTATTTTTTTCCAATACAACTTATGTTCTCATTTTTTTTTTTTTTGTTCTATGAAGCTCATATGTACTACAATCCTAATAGCTTTACGTGTGAATATATATGTTTAAATATACATTTTCCTGACTTACTTCATATGTAATACTGGTAATGAAAAGCTAAATGTATTAAATTCAGTAGCACTTTGAAACCTGACCTTTAAGATAATTTCATCATTTAACATTTGTTTTGACTACTTGGATTTGATTTTGTTGAAAGTCTACATTACTATTGCTGTGAGAGGGTTGTGTAATGTTTATTTTTTAATCCTAAATAGCTTTATGTGGTTGTTGCTGGCTGCTGATCTTAAGGCAACCAGCTGCTTCTGTGACCAATGCTGCTCCCAGCAGGAGTCCATATCCTCACAGATACTCAGACCAAGCTGAAATTATTTAATGCAAGGCACAGCTGAAGGCAATTTACAAAAGCTTATGGGTATCTTTAAAGAGGCTGATTAGAGCAGGAAAAGTTAAAGTTGTGAGTTCTGCATAATTTGTAATATTAGATTCAAATATTGTGTAGATCATTGGGGACTGAAAAAAGCAGACACTGAATAATTGCTCCAATAGAAGCATCTATATTAAGATTTTGGTTATGCAAAAAGAAGTAGAAATTAGTCTAAATATTCTGTATCATACATCATGTGATAACTGTAACGCACAGTACGAATTAAAGTATGATTAGTGTTGCTCAAACATAACGCTTTGCACTGGGATTTAAATTTTTCTTAAATCTTGAAGGTATTAAATACCATTAAACTTTATATTTAACTTTCTAACTCTTTTTTATTTATTTATTTTTTCTTTTTTTTTTGTTTTTAAATATTGAATCACACTCAGAGCTGTGGGGGAGAGTCAAGAGACAGTAGGGACCTAATTTTTAATTTTTCAAACTTTGAGGCATGAAGCAACAGTACAATAAAGCATGTACAAATTTTAATTAAACTTTTCCAATTATTTTTTTAATTGGCAGAGCGCTTTCTCATAAAAGGCAAGTATGAGTCTCGTTGTTGAAATTATGTTTGTAGGAAAATCTCTGGGAGTACATACACATTTAATTGCATGGTTTATTTTGTCAAATGTCAATGTTAATACAACTAGGCCAGATTAGTCATGGAGATTCTAGCAGGATTTGGATTAGAAGTAATCTTTTAGTTCTGGATTCATTTTATATAGAGAAGTATTTTCAAACCAGTGAGTCTTTGTTTTTTGTCTGTCTTGTCAAACCTCTGGTTTGTATCAGAGAAAAGTGGTTTGCGCTGCTTGGTTCTGCTGAAAAACGGGAGACATTCCTTTCCACTCCATCCATTCTCAGTTTGAGGAGTTGATGAAGTTTTAAAACATTTGGAAAGTAAACATTCCGTCTTGGAACATCTTTGCTGAAAAGAAGAGATTGTTGCACAGTCCATATCTCAATGCAATCAACTGGGTTTCCATAGATTAAAAACCTTGTACCAAATGAATTTAACTGAAATATAGTAAAACTATGATTTAATTAGTCTGCTTTGAATTAAAATTGTCTATACAATTGGATTAAGTTGATTATGTACATAAATTGGATCTGCTGTAAGTGTAGCACCTTGAGATAACACACTTTGCAAATTTTATTTAATTAAACTAAATTAAACCCCATAGAGAAACGGGAGAGAGATATAAAGATGAATGAGGCTTTACAACCTCAAAGATTTTGAGTTTAAGATGAAAAATAAAATTGTCAGTTACCAGAGTAATCATTCAAAGGAGCTTTTGATTACTGTAAATCAAATGGAGGTTTAAACTTTAATTATTCAGAGGTGTATATACTTTTCAAAATATTTTTGACTTGTATATTGTTCATAAATCCCCATAGTTTCTTTGTCAACTTGTAAAGATGAGCACTTATAAGCTCATATTTTTCATTAAAATAAAGTATAGTCTAAAATGCTTGGAATATTTGAAGAAAATCTGAAAATTGATTTTGGAGAAATATACTTTTTTTCCACCCTGGTCACCTAGAGGTGTTTTTCTATTTCAAAAGTCTTCAGGAGATGAACTTTGAACTTTGAACCACCATTCTTGTCTTAGTAACTGAACGATGCTCAGCTGGTAGGGAATATTTCAAGCTATGTGACAAAAGGAAGAACAGCTGCTCTGACTCATCAGAATACGATGTGTGTGACTTCATATTTTCACCTTTTATATTTTTTATTTCAACAGGTCATTGCGCTCAAATGTCCTATATTCTGGTTGATGAAAACATGGAGAAAACAAGCTAACATGAGTAAAAGTGCTGGTAATAAAGGATCATATACTTCAAATTTTACTTATTTCACAAAAATTAAATGAATTTTAACTGAAGGAAAACACATTTCACAGAATACTAAAACACATCATCAACAACAAAGACACTAAGCTATGTTTGGCTTGCTGAAAAGCTTAGCCAGGGGCGTCAAACTCCACTGTACTGCAGTGTTTAGATGTGCCACAGGTACAAAACACTGGAATGAAATGGCTTAATTACCTCCTCCTTGTGTAGATGCGTTCTCCAGAGCCGTGCTGATAACCTAGTTATTCTATTCAGGTGTGGTGCAGCAGAGGCACATCTAAAAGTTGCAGAGCAGTGGCCTTCCAGGACTGGAGTTTGACACCTGTGGCTTAGACTGTTGCCAGATGGTAACATTTGTTCTTAATAGCATTACATATTGGTGAGAGTGATTGTCAAATATTCTGTTGTCTTTGTCTTCAGGTCCACTCCAAGTAGAATTTCTTGAATTTAACGCTACTAGTTTTATGTGATTTTAATTTTTATTTTTCAGTGCTACAGTTTTATTTTATCAGACTTGATTTAATTACATTACATTGTTTCACACTTAAAATAGAATCAACAATGTTGACAGACTTCAAACTGATGAATTTTCTCCATTGATTTTGATGCAGCGGGGCTCTATAGAAGGTCAGAACTGCTCCAGCATGTTAATCTAATAGAGCAAAAGAAGAGAACAATGATTTATGTTTTTCATTGGTGTTAAATTTTGTAACATTTTATATTTAGTTTTTTTTTTTTTTACCTTTCACGTCAAGTTTTGTTGAGCACTCTACTCTCCCCAGATAATTTTCTGCAACAACAGTGTAATCCCCACTGTCTTTAGGCCCAACATTGAGTATTAGCATGGAGCAGACTCCACAGGTGTTGGTGATGTAGTAGTTAGTGTTGGTGTTGAGGCTGATGTTATTTTTGTACCAGGTAACATGGGGTCTGGGGTTTCCTGTCACAGCACAACTCATGTAGCACTCGTATCTTTGAGGACTTTGGTGCATTTTTAGAGGAACAGAAAATGATGGAGATGTCTCAAGGGTATAGGTCTTGGAATCTTGAAGTTTCAAAAAGAATTTCTCTGAAAAAACACAAGAAAAATTGTTATAGCCCATAATGACTGTCTATTTAATAACTTAATTATTTTTAGTTATCTGCTTGTGAAAATAACATTAAGAATCCATACTAAAATAAATTATTTTTTACTTTTTTAAATGTATTATTTTGTAAAGGTTATGCTAATTTGCAGTTCCAAATTTATCTGCATTGCTGATGAACGGTCACTTATGTGGCGAAGCACAGTTATTGCAGCATGTTACTTAACCAGAAAATATCCAGATGTTGTCCTTCAGATATGATTTTACTATGAAATGATTCCTTGTGAATTTCAAGATGTAAATTCACAATGAATCAATGTGCATGTGACTATTAAGAGGACACAACTTTACTTGATGAGTAAACACTAATTCATCCAGTCTTTTGTTGAATCTAAAGCTGTGCAAGAAGGATAAATGAAATAAATGCCTCTTCATATTAATAAAATACCTCTTAAGGTGCCACATTGTAACAAAGATTTAGATTTTCTTTTCATTTGGATTTTTATCTGACATTTTATGTATTGTAATCTGGAGATCTACAGTTTACAAACAATACTGTATCCATATTTATTTTTACCTTGAGTACCTAATGTGGTCATTCATAAAGTTTTCATACATGCATCAAATAATGTAATTAACATTAATGTTAATGTTCATGGGATGGAAGAAGAAGCTTTTGCACTAAGATGTGGCAGATTTCTGCAGAGGTCAATCCAAATATTTTATACTAACATAAAAAAATGGTTTATTAATGAAAACTACATGTATCTGACAATATGTCAAAGATTTGAAAATGGCTTATAATTTCCTTTTTATTTTTGACTTAGTTCTGCATAGTTCATTAAAAAGAATGTACTTTTAACAAATCAGTTCTTAAATCACAGATTTGCTTCAAAGTTGTTAAAACTTGCCTTTCTTTTTGTTTACTTCCCAGATTGGTGACTCAGACGCTGCAGAAAGCCCCATGTCATTCTTGGCATAGATCCTGAACTTGTACTGCCTTCCGGGCATAATATTGACAGCAGTGAACCTGTTGTTGAAGAGATGTTCAGCCACAGTATGCCAAGTGTGTTTAACAGAATCATGCTTGTCGACCACGTAGTGCAGTCTGTCATCCTTCTTCTCATCTGGAGATGCAGTCCATGAAATGGTCACTGTTCCCGGCACATTTTCCTCAAGTTCTATAGGGCCTGGAGGCTTAGGATCATCTACAGAAAGGTAAGAAATCATTCTGATATTTACTCTAAAGTAGAGCAACATGAAAAATGGCAAATACTCAACACTAGGCATTATTTCTGATCACAGAAATGATCATTTTATAAAAAGATAAAGGAAAAAAATTAACTGACTTGATATCTCAGCTTTTCTCTGTACCTGTGACTCTTATTTCAACACTGGAAGTCTCCTGACCAACAAGGTTCTTGACAACAATTGTATAGATTCCAGTGTCATGGCGCTCCGATGAGGGTATCATTAGCTGTGATGATGTGTCTGTGTTGCTCACTGTTACATATTTGGGTAGAGGCAAGCCATCCTTGAGCCATGTGATCACTGGCATTGGAGAAGCCTGTCAAAAAAAACAGGAGAAGCAGTTAAAAATGGTAATTCATGTGTCTGTAAAGTAAAGTTTTGTAAAAAAAAAAAAAAAAAAAAGAAGCAAAGCTTTTTTGTAAAGAAAAAAAGATTGATTATCATCGATCAGCTTCCAGTGTTGAAAGAACTCGTTCACTCAAGCATAAGTATGTAAATGAGTAGAGGTTCACATTTTAGTGATTCCTTATGGTTCAGTTTGAATGCCTGAGCTTCAAACAAGGTGCAAAAGACAGAGAATGCATCCATGTCATTAGCTATTGCTAGCTTAATGATTGCTATTCTCTGTTGTTTATTTGCAATACACCGTTTTTTGTTGTAATGAAAAACGTGTTGATACACGTGTTGCAGTGTGCAACAAAAATTATGAAATTTACTCCCAGTCCAATCATTTTGCATTAATGTTAACCAGCAGACCATTTTTATGGGTTAGAAAAGTTGTTGGAATGTTCAGTATAAATAGTGAAGATGTTTTGTTTTCTCTCAGCACTGGTATTAGGAGAATCACACAAGACACTGAATCATAAATAGGTTTTTGATTTTAACAACATGCTAGACTGATGTTCATTTAATCAAGAAAACAGTACCTTAAAGTTGAAGTTGATTCGAACTGAGTTCCCTGCCTTCACAACCATAAAGTTCTTCATTTTTTTGTCAGTGAAATGAGGTCTAACTGTCAAGATGAGAAAATATTTTAGACACTGATTGTCTGTAAAATTTTAAAGCAGTTTTGTAATTTTCAGTGACTCACCTGGTGGCGGCATTGCAATGATGTAGTTGTTTAACTCTTGAGGCTCACCGTCTCCACCTTCATTGGTGGCCACAACTCTTACCCAGTACATTGCCATTGACTTAAGACCCACAATAGTAAATGTGGTCACAACAATGGGGCTCGTGTTACATCGGCCCCATTCAGGGCTTTCAGCTGGTCGTAATTCCACAAAGTATCCCTTAGCCTCATCTTGGACACCTTCTTCTTCTACTGGTTTGGTCCAGCTCAACGATAAGGTGGAGTAGGTCGAGTCCATCACCTTCAGGTCAGTAACTTTACCAGGAGGTTCTGTATGTGTAATCAGTTCCACAGTTACACATTGAGAGGTTTGTGATCTCAGAAATCTTAAAACTATTTTTTTTCCCCCAAAGTTATTACTTACTTTTTGGATCTCTGGCAATCACAAATTCTGAGGGTTGACTTGTGTCTCCAACTCCGGACATATTGATAGCTGATACTCTGAACTCGTACTCTATACCTTCAACAACATCCTTTACTGCATATTGTTTTGCTGTTGAGATGAAACACTTTAATGTGTTAAATGGAATTTGTTTCTTTTTTAGGACTTGGAAAAAACAAAATTAGCAATATTGGAACAGCCTGACCTTTGATGGGCTCATCTGGTGGGTTGACCGTGCCCCACAGATTACTCCCATTCTTGCGTTTCTCCACATTGTAACCCAAAATGTTTGCTCCTCCTGTATTTGCCGGTGCAGTCCAAGCGAGATTTATACAGTCCTTGAAAGCACTGACAATTCTTGGTGTTGAGGGAGGTCCAGGATATGCTAAAGAAATCATAAAGCGTGCCACAGATGTAAAGATTTTTGCCCAACCACACTGTATTTCCAGTCTTGTGAAAACTTACCCTTTGTTCCAGCCTGGATGTCATCAGTCTCTATCATGTCACTAATGCCTTGTTCAGTTTCAGCCCTGATATGGTAGCAGTATTTTCTGCCATGATCTACATCTGTGTCCCTGTACTTGGGCTCTGGACCAATCTTACCCAACTTTTGCCAGCTGTTGCGTCCAATTTGCTGGCGCTCCATAATGTAGTTGGTTACAGGGCAACCGCCACTATCTTTGGGAGGTCTCCATTTGAACTCGATGCAAGATGAAGAGCTTTCAATGACATCGACAGGGCTTTGTGGTGGTGTTGGCTTAGCTGTATTAAGAAATTTACAATATGGATCTGATATTTGTACTGTGAAGTGTTTACAACATAATTTTTTTTAGAATGTGGTGGCAAACCTTACCTAGGACAATGAGTTTTGTGATGGCTTCAATCATTCCACATTCATTTTTAATTTTCATCTTAATTTCTCCAGTTGTTCTGCGTTGGCACTTGGTTAGGATTAGGCGGCTATGGGAGGAAGACTTCTCAATCTTAATATTGCTCTCCTCCATTAGCTCTTCCCCATCATTGTACCACTGGATTTTCATTGGTTCACGTCCAACAAATGTTAGCTTAAAGGATGCATCTTTTCCAGCTTTGATTATTACAGGTTTCATAAACTCAGCAAGGTCATCAGGATTGATTCTTGGAGGATCTAGGTCAGGGAAAAACAGTGTTTATAATTATGTCCTAACAAAATTCACTGAGCTATGCTTTAATTTTTAACTGTGCCATTTTAGTTGAACAACCCTTCAACATAGCTTAAGTAGTGTGGATGACTTCAGAGAGATTATATTACCTTCAACATTCAACATAGCTTCTGTTTTACGCCCATCAGCTTCACATTTATATTTTCCAGCATCCTCTTCTTTACAGTTTTTAATAACTAGTTTCCGATAAGACCCCTCTTTAATAATATCAATGTCCTCTGTTGCTGTTATCTGAAATTGATGTAATGTAAATCTTTTACCATCACAGGCGATGAAGGTGAAGTTATTCCTTAATGAGTTTAAATAATCTTTACCTCTTTTCCATCTTTGTACCAGGTTGCGTCATAGTCCTCGCTGCTTAGCTTACATAGCAGTTCTGCATCATTTCCTATCACTGCAGTTACGTCTGAGAGTCCACCAGTAAAATAAACTCCTGGGTCTGAAATAAATACATCATAACCTTTGGACATGGTATACAATATGGCCAGCAATACTCAGAATAAATATAGCTCCTTAATGCACCTCACCAGTTACAGTTTCAGGGACAAGTGGGCCTCTTCTCTCTCTTTGTCTTTTCTCTTGAACATATTCTTTCTCTTCAACAACAACCTCCTTCTCTTTTGCAGAATCTGGTGCAGGTTCTTCTGGTTTTCCTTCCTTCACTTTTTCTTCTACAACTATTGGTTTAGAATCTGCTACCACTTCTGCTTTTGTCTCTGGCTTTATTTCTGCTTGTTTCTTTGGTTGAGGTTCAGTTTTAGGTGTGGCATCTACCTCTGGGATTTCTACAGGTTCTGGTTCTTCAGCTGCTGCTGCTGCCGCTGCCGCCTCTGCTGCCTCTTCCTCTGCCTTTTCCTTTGCTTTTGCAATCAGCTCATCTCGTTCTTTTTGTAACTTCGCCTGCTGCTCCCGAGCAACTTTGAGAACATCGTCTCCACCACCGCCTGCACAAGTTGTCTTGCGAGCTTTCTTTTTTCCAACCATACTTGGATCCTTGTTATCTATTTAAGAATAAAAAGTGGAAAGAAAATGTTTGCTTTATCAACTCTTGTAATATTTTTAGGAAACTTAGTATACTGCTAAACATGGATAGTTACTGATGTATTAACTGTTCTAACAATCAAACCAAAAATGAAGTGATGAATAACTGTCGAGGAGACACTCTACTCCAGCTATGGATGTTAATAAAGTGGTCTGTTCAAGTTGTGCAGATAGGAGTAAACATCATCTATGATAATCATGTGGAGACCTGTTCTAACAGAAATAAATACTGTCAATCAACTAGAAGAAGACATCCTCCATAGTCTTCTGCTTGTCTACGATGAAGTTGGTGGGGAGTAACATGAAAAACCCTGACCTCCCTCTCTCTAACAGCAGACTCCAGCTTATTTTAGGATATCTCAACCAGATGATGGAACTTTTTATTGTATCTCCTAGGTTAAAACCAGTCATTGTGTAGAGCAGGCTCATTTCAGGCATATGTGTTTGGGATTTTGTTCTCCAATTATATACAATATCTCATGACCATTGGTGAGAATTGGAACACAGACAGAATAAATTGAAAGTAATCTTGAAGTTTTTGATTTTCTCTACCCTGACGGACCAGAGCACTGACTAAATCATATAAAAATAGGCACAGTTCAATCTTCAATCTTTCATTCTCCACAGTTAAGCCAAAAAGACTGACCCCTGGTCCAGAAGGAATAATCCACTGGTTTCTTGTTGAGACTCATGGCTTCAGACTCAGAGAAGCTGACTCTGAAGTAAATATATATTTATTGCTTAATCCGATACTATTATAGTTTTGAAAAACTTTTTTGACAACCCTTGTCTTATCACAAAACATTAGTTAATTTGCAATAACATATTACTGATTATTAATGCTTATATATGATGGAAAGTGTAGATTTTAATGCTATAAACTTGAACAAGATAAACTTCCAATGCACCATTGAACATAATTTTTCCATACTTTCTACTATGAGCCAGGCACTGCAGGATTTAAGTCCAGCCACAGCTGAATAAATTCCTTTGTCCAGTAGCAGGCAATCTTTCACCATTAAAGTGTGAATTAGCATGTCGTCCGATACGGTAACATCATATTTATCTCCGTGCTCCACTGGGTTGTTTTTCCCCATCCAACAGATTTTTTTCATTGGATGTGAAAGCACACACTGGAACACAGCATCCTCTCTTTCCTCTGCGTTCACATCTTGAATTTTAACCAAAAAGTCCACATCTGGAACTAGACAAAGCAAAAAAAAAAAAAAAAAAGTATACATGTATATATTTAACATGAGAAAAATCCAATATTTGTAGAAATTATTTAATAATTGAACAAAAGCCTTAAGAAATAGAAATAAATATTCAGTTGTTTATCCTCTTACTTTTTAATTCAGTTGAGAATATCTTGACTCCATCGATTTCCACTTGATATAATCCTGCATCCTCAGGATTAACTCCATTTATGCTGAACACAAACTTCTTTCCTACTCTTTTAAGTCCATGTTTTACCTCTGTTTCAGCATCAAAAGGAATCATAACTCCATCCTGTTGTAACAAGACGGATAATAAAGTTGAATCAATATAATAAACACAATTACTTTCAGAAATTTTCATTTTTCTACTTTCTACTAAAAGAAAAGAACATTCACCTTGAATAGGAAAATTTTGCTTTTGGGGTCTTTCAGTGACATCTCAAGTTCAAACTCTGCTGCACCACTAGGTTTCAGTTCAATGGGCTTGAGGTTACAGAGTTTTTCAACAACCTAAACTCATTTAAATCAAGGAAAAATATATTGACATTTATACAAAAATATTTTTCTTGAGTTGCATATGTGGTTTCTGCAGACAACCACGTATGTGTGAAAACCAACCTTTTCCTGCTCCTGCTCTCTCTCTAACTTCTTCTCATTTAGCTTCTTGAGCAACCAGCAAAAATCGGTAACCCCATATTGTGCACAGATGCTCTCATATTCTCTCTTGTCTGCACTCAACAACAGTTCCCAAAATTGTTCATCGATTTCTAGCTTTTTCTCTTCCCTCGACTCAAAGTCCACCCTCAAAAGGGGAACAAACAAACATTTCAATTCAATTCAGTTTGTTTATATAGCACCAAGTCACAACACATTATGCCAAAGCACTTTACAAAAAAAGTCAGTTCAGTCAAGTCTTTCAGACAGACACCTGTTGAAGTACCTACATTTCAAATTGAAACGTTATTTGAAATAGTGGTTACGAAATAGTGCTCTTAAGTTCAGTTGACTATTGAAATTGGTTAAAAAGTTTTCTAAGGAAATCCAGCAGATTGCATCAAGTCAGGGACTTGCAGCATTCATTCCTCCTGGATGAGCACTTTGCGACAATGAATAATTGTTATCTTTGTTAAAAAAAAAAAAAAATAGTAAATACATGAAATACTGGTTAGTTGTGAAAAACAAAACACGGACTAAAGGACAAAATATATATTTGGAAATTTGTTTTCCACTTACGTGCTCCTCAAGTTCCTTTTGAAGTCTTCTGGTAACTCTCGAATTGCTAAAACAACAAGCAGCTGAGTTATGCTTATTTTTGTTAAAGGGTCAGAAAAGTGGTCTGTTTACCTGTTCTGGATTCTTTCATCGCTTTACTCTTCTTGTAGCCAACTAAATTAAGAAAATTTGAGTCATATTATAATTTTCGGTCTTTGAGAAAAGACATAGCATCTTACCTTCAATGACATTGAGAGTAACGGTTACAACTGCTTTTCCAAACTCATTTCTGGCATAACATTTGTAGGTATCTGCTTGATCTGCACATACATCAGGCATCTATCAAGAAATCCAAAGTTTCTCTTTTTTGAAAAAGAAAATTGTACAGTTTGTCATCCTTTAAACAATGAAAATGGGAAATACCTGAAGCTGATGTTCACCAGAAATTGAATCAAATGTAAACTTGTATCTTTCCTCATCGATCTCCCCATTGTTTCTCATCCAAGTCACAACTGGTGTTGGATTACCAGTAACTATTGCTCTGAAAAAGGCCATTTTTCCTACAAGCATGGTAGAAAGAATTAAAAACTTGCATAGTAGATTATGTCACAAAGACAAGGAAACTAAGCAAATTTTACCTTCTTGAATTGTGAGCGCGATAGGTTTCCGAGTGAAATCAGGGGTGCTCATGCCATCTGATAATACTTCCACATACTGAGTGATCATAACTCCAGGCACCCGTGACTTCTTTTTAATTTTCACTGCCATTCAATAAAAAAATAAAAGAAAATAAAAGAAAAGAAATAATCTGTACAATTTGATAAAGAAAGGAAATTAAGGATAGCATTGATAATTTCCATACTGTTAAAGTACCATAGTCTGAACTGTCCTTTTATAGGTTTAATCAAGGTTCTTAACATGTAATTTAGTTGGATACATTTTTTTTAAAAATCCACTTGTTTTTTGACTTACCCTGCCCCGCAGCAGTTGGTTGCTCTTCCTTTGCTTTGCGAATCTTAAACATCTTCACACCAACTTCTCTGTTAATGCAGAATAATCACAATGCACTCTTAAATCACTTAATATGATGTTTTGTGGTTTCCCTGAGTGCTATTTGTATAGCAATTTGTCTCAATTTTCTTGAGTGAATGCCTGGGTTATTTGCTTTGTACATACCATATTACTCAATTTCATTGAGTTCTGAAACTGGTCACTGTCTTTAAAATAATTTATGTGCTCCAGATGGTCTAAATATATTCTGGGTATCGCTTGTCATTGTGGAAACTGGAGGTTTATGGTTGGATGTGTTTTTAGAAAACGCAGTGTTGGTGGGAGTGTTGGTATCAATACTCTATTGTATAGATTAAATAGGCAATAGGCTAAAAATATATAAAATATAAGATGTACATTATTATGTGAAAATAAATGGTGTATTTAGACTTGTGCCATGATGGCCTGTAGTTCACTTAGGCAGTCTTTATTTTACTATTCAAGAAACTATCAACAGACTTACTTAGTAAGAGGAAAGTCTTGTTTTTTTTTAATTAGTTTTTGAATTGGAAAAAAATAATATTTTACCTACTTTAAAAGTTCCTTTTTATTATAGATATTTCTATTTTTGCATTTCCAATTTTTTATATTGACCATTAGGCATCAGAATAAGTCACTGAAATATATGTTAAACTATATTGTCAGATTTCTGTAACTATCACATTGATCACATTAGATCAATTTGAAAAATCTTTAAATCATAGCATCACACTGACAAATTCATAACTGGAAAAGGTATAATGTTTTTAATCATGTAACTTTATGGATATTAGTTTGATGTGGATTATATGTTTTTCCTATTAAAACAGCTGTGCTATGGCCTTATTTATTTTTTCATTTTCTTCTCCAGCCCAAAAAGAACATCTTACTAACTACCTATGCACAATAACAATTTAAAGAGACAAAGTTAGATTGAAAGAGCCAAGCAGAGTTCTCATGTCACTAAAGTAGATACATATGTTAAAATTGTAGAAGTCCAAATACAGGGCTATTGCATATAAAGAAAAAAAAAAAACTTCTACCACTGGTGTTTTTTTTTTTTTTTTTTACTTTAACCATTTTTTAACCAAGTTAATTTATGAAAACATGCACAAAAAAAGCTTTAGAAATACACAGATCACATCTGGTTTGATGTAGAAATCCAGTCACCTGCTACAAATAATAGATCTTACTGTAAATGTACTTACTTTTTTTTTTATTTTTTACGTTGGCTGCTTTTCTCTGCAGTCTGGTGCCAGCCAAGGTCCAGTGGATTCCTGAGTGTGAGTTCTGCCTTTTAAGAGGCCATAAAGGCACTCAGAGATCCTGAGAGCAACCCAACCCACTGCCTTTTTACAGTGGTACATAGAGATAGGTTTACTTGCATATGCCACCTTACCATAAAGTGCTATAGGTTACAGGTTCAGAAAGGGTAACATCTGAGAAACAACAGCAGAAAATATCTGCAATCAGTCTCAAAACTGGGAATCATAGCTTTAGGACAGCTGCAGGATGCCATCGGATAGTGTAGAAAGGTAGTTCTCCTAGGTAGTTTTTCATTCTTATGGGTAGAATACACATGAAGCCTCTATCATGCTTTTCCCACATTACTTAAGAGGTAAGAGTTTTTATTTATTTTGCTGATTGGAATTTGATAAGAAATGTCAGTATTGAAATATAATGAAGTTGCTGAAAGACTATCATAAAAACTGAGCTATAATTTTTATTTTATTTATTTTTTTTATGAAAAGCAAACTATGCAAATAAACCAGAGCATATTTTTTGTAGCTTCAACTTGCATTCAGGTCTTGCATCCAGAAATTTTCATGTTTTTAGTTGTTTGGGATGTTTACCTTTCCTTCTTCCATGACACTTACGAAGGGATGTTGAACAATTCAAAAACATGAACAGTCACAACATGAGAATGGTAGACATACATTATTCAGACAAACTTTAATGAAGCTTGACATGTGGGATGAATTTTGAGGCACGTTATATAAAGACTTGTTACATGCGTCATGGATGTACGTTTTAGTGAATCAGTTTTAATACTTCTGCATAATGTATTTTTTATGTCTAAAGTTCTTGACTAACTCATTGTTCAGTTTTAAAAAGTTGCATCAAAACGCAACATTCAATATTTATTAATACTTTTCACACAAATTGGCATATGAATAGCATAGTAATTGCTTAAAACTCCAACCTTGCATGCACAAACATGAACATTTTCACAATGACCTACTAACATCTAGTGTTATCTAATAGTAATGTTTAATTGAAGTTCAACATACTTTCAAATTCTAAAACAGTTCCTGTTTTCACTCCTCCCAAGAGGGCTCATTTTCTCCTACTGAGTTCCCACTGTGAAAGGTTAATGTTTAGGAGTAAAGGATTCAAAACTTGTCAGCATGTGGGAGCCCCTTAAAGCCCCAAGGAGCCTGATGTTTGCTCAGAACCTATCCCGTATGACTAGATTATAGCAAAAGCAAAACCCCGCAAAACAAACAACTTTTTACGTATTAATCCTTTTTTTTTTTCTTTTTTAGTTTTTCTGTTGCTTTGCCTTTGCACCATATTTCATAACAGTTGACATAATACTTGGGTAAACTCACAACAGAATACAGGCAACCAAAACAAAGTCTGAAAATAAAATGATGGCAACCATCTATGTTGCAGAACAACCTAATGGGAAACAGCAGAAAATTGTATCACCTTCATGTTAAAATCATTAATTCAGGCATTCACAGTAGAATCAAATCAATAAATCTTTTCAGGTACTCAAATGGGAAATAGTTAAACTAAATATATAATTTGTATTTTGTATATTCAACCTTCTAGCTTAACAAAATAAAACAGGTTAAATACTAGATCTATAAAGAATATGTGGCAACCTAGGTTTATTTTTTATTTGCACATTAAAGTTTTGACAATCAGCTTTTCGAGATGAGGCTTCATCTGTGACACTGAATGTACATTTTACACACGTTTGGGATTTTCTTGATTGTAAAACACATGTCAGTTTCCAACTACGTGGCTTATGTGGTATTGTCTGTAGATCCCTTTACTCTGCAAAGAAAGCAAATAGAGATCATTAGTCATTTTTATTTAACTGACTGGTAAATGAGAATATCAAAGTTAATTTATTTGAGTAATTCAACTCATAAGTCACTCACATTTGATATGCACTGTCGTATATTTTGTATTTTTCTTGCTGTTAATTCTGATGAATATTCCTTACAGCTATTAAAAACTTTAAATTCTGTTTCTCTGAAAATGTTAATATTGCATAGGACTAATAAATAAAATATGTCTAATACAGAAACTGGCCTTTCAAAAAGCCTGCCCATGAACTGTACAGCATGTGCTCTCGATTCTTGGTAGAGGGGTTATTTGCCATGAATTACTGCATTTATAATATAACTTGGGATGACTTAAGAAACCAACAAGTTATTTTCTTCACATTTTTTCAGGTTATCATCTAGGCACTGGTTTAAAAGCATCTGATGTTCTCTCATTTTCTTAACTGGCTTCAGAAAAAGAATGCATCTTGGAGACTGTCGTTATCCTTGTTGTTAAGTGCAGCTATTTTTTTACCACACATTTTCCTTTTACTTAACTTCATATGAATGTGCTTGAATGCAGACACACTGTTTGCTATACTCTATCAAGTTAATAGTCCCTCCTAGATTTGGTAAGCCATAAGTAAACATTTTTGTGTTTACATGCTTTGTATTTTATAGCTGTGAGGAATAATCTTTGAGGGATAAAAATACATGTTTAAAATGTTTTCCTTCAGTTTGTTTCTGTTACTTTTAAACTTAAATTACTAAAATAAATAATATTTTGGATTGTATGCTAATTTATTGAGATGTACGTGTAATCTTTCCACTTGTGCATAGTGTTCTGTTAAGGACTTACCTCTGACTGTGAGTTTAGTTGAACTCTCTGCTCTTCCTAAAGCATTTTCTGCAACAATTTTGTATTCCCCTGTATCCTTGGTTCCCACCCTCAATATTAGCATAGAGCAGACCCCACAGGTGTTGGAGATTAAGTAGTTGGTGTTGGTATTCAGACTGATGTTGTTGCGCAGCCATGTCACATGAGGTGTTGGATCTCCTTTTACGGCGCAGCTCATGTAGCATTCATAGCCTTGTGGAGCAGTGTGCATTTTCAGTGGGACAAGGAATTTAGGAGGACATTGCAGGTCACAGGCTTTGGACTCTGGCATCTTCAGAGTGAATTTTTCTGCAGAGAATCAATATAAAAAATTCATTAGAATATAACTATTGACTTAAAAAATAAAGAAGCAATTCTTCACACTCTAGTATAAAAAATGCCTCTTTTGACAAGCTTGTTACATGAAAAAGGGCTAAAATCTGTCTTTAAGTGAACTATATTTGGTCAGCTTTATGAGTATCTGAGCAACAAAATAAAACTTAAAATTGTTAAAATATTGCATTTACTTTAGGATTTGTGATGCATAGTTGCACAGTGTTGCAACATATGTTTCTAAGCCTGAAAAGCAGATCCGCTCACCTTTTTTGGCAGGAATGAGCCACTTTGCAGATTCGGATGGTTTAGAGGAGCCCATGTCATTCTTGGCATAGACTCTAAACTGATATTCTCGACCCGGCATGATGTTACAGGCCGTAAATTTGTTGTTGAAGATTCGATCTGCAATGGTGTTCCAAGATCTCTTGACTGAATCTCTCTTTGTCACCATGTAGTGCAGCCTGTCATCCCGCTTCTCGTCTGGAGACGCGGTCCATGAGATGGTTACTGTGCCAGGCACGTTTTCATCCAGATCCACAGGACCTGGTGGCTTTGGCTCATCTAGAGTTCAACATTTTTGTTACTCACTCTACTGAATTATACAGCAATGGAGAAAGAAGACCACTGTTTTAAACTTACCTGTGACTCTAATTTCAATGCTAATTGTTTCCTGTCCTACAATGTTTTTGACTATGATGGTATAAATGCCGGTATCTGAACGTTCTGCAGAAGGAATCAAAAGCTGGGATGCACCCTCAGCATTGCTGATGGTGACCTTTTTAGACACTGGTACGCCATCCTTTAGCCAGGTTACCTCTGGCCATGGTGAAGCCTACAACACAATATGAAAACATTACTTCCAGGAGTTTATAGGTATGAATTAACTTCTGTAAATCATCTGATAAAGTACCTCAAAGTTAATGGTGAATCTTGCAGAATTTCCTGCTCTTACAATCATGAAACTCTTGATTTTGGCATCTGTGAATCGTGGTCTCACTATTTAAAGAATAGAAAGCAATTTTGTTTTTATGAAAACTGAAAAAAGACACATTTCACTGCAAAAAAGACAAAATAAATTTCAACTATAAAACTTGGTATTGTCCTACGCACTACACTGATATAGACGATGATTCTGTATAACCTATAATAGCGCTGATTATACAGTAAAGCACATCTGTTAAATCATATCATGATTCATCCCATCTTTTTTTTTAGATATCCTGGAAATACATTGAAAAGAAAAATATATCATACTTTTTAGAGATAAACTACACTTGAAGCTAAAATGAACCAAATATCTCTCTGTGCCCCCATATTGCTCAAATTATCAGGAAATCTTGTTGAAGTACCAAATGGTCAGATATGGCCTAACATAACCAAATAAGCTATTTAATATAAGTTTTGTTAAAGTAGCTATTAAAAGATTAACTAAAATGAAAAAGTTCTGCTGAGTTACATGCAGGCAATCTGCAATGTAGTATTTTTGTTCTAGGTGGTACATCACTTTCTGTTTATCACTTTCAACACTACCAAGTTTCATATTAATATGATCAAAGCAAAGCTATCCATACTAGGTGAAATTACAAATTCATCCATTTACAATGGATGAAGTAAAGTTTTTCAAATCTTTATTTTGGAAAAGGTTTATAGGCTTTCAGCCACTTTACTACCCATGTGGAAATAACTGACCAATGCACAGTGCAGTTTCAGCTGTCTCTGTCCTTTTAGCTTATTTGGAATATAAGCCTTAATGATTAGGCTTTGGGTTGAAATTTAATTCAATTTCTAATAATTATTGTTACTTAATGTCACCCCAAGGAATAGCGGATAAACTGGCAGTGCATGGTTTTGCATGCTGTTTCTTTAAATTTATCTTTAGAGACTGATTTAAGTGCAAATGTACTTACCTGGAGGGGGCATAGCGAGAATGTAATTGTCCAGCTCCTGAGGCACTCCCTCACCTCCATCATTAGTAGCAATAACTCTCACCCAGTACATGGCCATTGACTTCATGCCCTTTACCGTATATGTAGTCATGGTTATTGCATTAGAATTGCATCGATCCCAGTCTGTGTTTTCTGCAGGCCTGATTTCCACAAAATATCCCTTTGCTTCATCCTCCTCTCCCTTAATGTCTTTGGGCTTGTTCCAAGACAGGGACAGGGTTGTGTAGGTGGAATCTGTCACTTTCAAATCAAGCACTTTACCAGGAGGCTCTGAAACACATGATTTGGTGCCACTTTTAATGTCACACAAATATTTTATGTAGATTAACAATGACAGCTCTGTCACAACATTTATAAACATCCACCTACTTTTAGGGTCTCTGGCAAAAACAAACTCAGATGGAGTGCTGAATTCGCCAGCTCCTGAGTCATTGATTGCAGACACACGGAACTCGTACTCCATGCCCTCAACCACATCTTTTACAGCAAATCCTTTACCTGAATAGGAACATTAATGACTACTCTTGATTAGTTTATCCTCAAAAATAACAATATGCTAAGAATTAGCAGAAATCATAGATAAACTATAATGTAACCTCTAATAATCTCATTTGGGGGGTTAACTTGGCCCCAGAGGTTGCTGCCCTTCTTGCGTTTTTCCAGGTTGTATCCCAGAATGCTGGTTCCTCCAGTGTCAGCAGGAGGGGACCATGTGAGGTTGATGCAGTCCTTAAAGGCACTGGCAACCTTTGGTGCTGATGGAGGTGCAGGATATGCTGTATGCACAAGAAACATACATTTGTTTCAAGTTGTTTTTAAATGCATTTGTTATAATATTTGTTTTAATTCCTTGATTTACGTAAATGACAGGTGTCAAATTTAACATTCTGTTATCATTGAAGACATGTGAGAAGAGGAAAATCTACACAATTTGAATATCTTCGCATGCTAACTAAATTTAAATTTGTTTCAATTATCAAGTTCAAGTTTCAAGTTTTCCATTTTGTTTTTTGTTTTTTTGTTTCATAAATGACTACATGGAGGAATCTTTGTGTGGTTTTGACTATTTGGGTAAGATTTTTTTTAAAAATTGGAATTTGGTAAAGCACAGATCATTTACAATTTAAAACAATAATTTTGACACAGGGGAAATATTCATTTTACCACTATTTTCTTATTGAGTATGTAAAACCTGGTGAGGACTTACATCAAAGTCAGGATGGTTACATATGTGTAATGAGCCTGCTTCTAAGACACAGAACACATCTGCTGTGAACAACACTAAATGTTTCAGTTATATTTCTCTTCACTACAGATTGGTTATTTCAGTTGTTAAAAACCCCCTGATACATTTAACTTGAACTTACCTTTTGTTCCAGCCTGAATATCTTCAGTTTCCATCATTTCACTGGTTCCCATTTCAGTCTCCACTCTAATACGGTAGCAGTATCTCCTACCATGATCCACGTCAGAGTCTCTATACTTGGCCTCAGGGCCAATTGGTCCAACCTTCTTCCAGGTGTTCCGTCCAACTTGTTGTCGTTCAAGGATGTAGTTTTGTATCTTGCATCCACCACTGTCCTTTGGGGGTCTCCACTTGAAATCAATTACAGAGGAGGAGGCTTCAACAATCTCCAGAGGTCCCATTGGAGGTGTAGGTTTATCTGTCGGAATACAACATGGTATGGTAACATAGTATTTTAGTTGATCAGAATGTATTATGCTTACATGTTACTTTTGTCAAATACATACCAAGTACATTTAGCTGGCTTACAGCCTCAATTGTCCCAAACACATTTTTCAGTTTTATCTTGATTTCGCCGCTGTCTTTGTGCTGCAGCTTCATCATCAGCAAACGACTGGTTCCATCTGAAGTCTCAATATTTATATTGCCTTCACTTGAAAGTTCTTCACCCTCAAGGTACCATTGGACTTTTATTGGCTCCCGGCCAATGTAAGACAATTTATAAGTAGCTTTGTGTCCCTTCTTTATAGTCACAGGAGCTTTAAATGCTTCTAGCTCCTCTTTATCAAATCGAGGGGGATCTGAAACCAAGAAAATGCACAAAACCTTTTTTAAAATTCAGTTTAAAGACTTGCATTCACACTCTGGTAAATTATGGAAATGTTTTTACCTTCAACAGCAATTTCAGCCTCGGTTTTTCGGCCATCGGCTTCAAATTTATATTTTCCAGCATTTTCCTCTGTGACTTTGTGGATTTTAAGCCTGTGGAAACATCCTTCTTTTGAAATTGTTAAACTCTCAGAAGCCTGAATCTGGAGGAAAAAATACAAACATTACAACATTGCTTTATTGCTTCAGTGTCATCCAGGTATACTTTGCTGATAATGACTGCTTTAGGGGTCTGAACTCACCTCAGCTCCATCTTTGTACCAGATTCCTACACACTCTTCACTGCTTACTTTACACTCTAACTCTGCGGCTTCTCCAATAATGGCTTTGCAGTCAGAAAGTCCAGCGTGAAAGTGAATGCCTGGGTCTGAGAAGCAAGTAAGTTAATAAATGCACGCATTACCCTCCTTTTGCAATCATGTTTTCTTAATTTTTATCTTCTTTCTAAACACGAATACAATTAAAACCAGAAAAAATATCTGACCTTTTTTTTCCTCACTGTCTGGCATAAAATCAGTCTACTTATTCTCCATTTTAGGAGAGTTATGATTTAGTTTTTGGTTGCTGCTTTCTTCAAATCCAAGAATTCCTACTCGTATATCCTACCATCACTACACATGTATATAATTTTGACCAAATCACGACAATAAAAAAAGTTCACAATATTTCAGCTAATTTAATGCACATCTGTTTATTTATTTTTAACTCAATCCCTTAAAAGCACTGCTTCCATGTGTGACGTGTTGAAAAAAAATGTTTTGCTAAAAAATCAGGAAGAGAGTTGTGAACCTATGTTTGACCATAATTTCCTTAGTTATATCTAGACCATCCCAGCATCATGTTGTGTGGTTGTTTTCCTGCAGGAGGGGCTGATGGATTTCACAAAACAGATCCCAGCATCACAGAGAACATTATTCAGAAAAATAGAGGGTTAAAGCTTGGATACAAACAGGCCTACCAAATGTAAATTAATCCTCTGCATTGTCAAAATAATCTACAGAGTGGTTTCAGTACAACAGAGTCAATGTTTTGGAGTGGCCATTCGAGAACCATATAGTTGGCAGAGGAGAAAATGTGTGGGAGCGAGGTGGCCTACAACCCTTAATAAGTTTCACCACATCTGTTAGAAAATATTTAACCCCAGTCATTCACATTAAAATTAAATCAAATCAAATGTTAAGATGTTGTGTCAACTTCTGAATTTGAAGAAAGTACAAAAACTATTTTCACATTTTGCAAGTGGAAATAATTTTGGTCAATCTACATGATCTTAATCAGGAAAAGTACGACTTCATGCCAGACAGTAATGGGGGAACAAGTTGTTTTAAAGCAGTGTTTGTGAATATCTGGATTGAACTTTATACAAATAAATGAGCAGTCTTTCTTCTCTGCATACAGACTTACCTGCGAAATATTACATCTCAAGTAATGTTTTAAATTTAATAGAATTCATGTATGAAGTCAGGAAAAAATAACATCTCAAAGTGTGTCTTTCCTTCATTTGAATTGAAGACGTCTTCATGAACATGGAACTTAAATGGCTTATTTTCTAGAGGCTTTCTTCAGTTTGACAAGTTGAGTTCTTAAAGCTTAAAAGAAAGTCTTCTGTGCCATTTATTTTCCTCTATTCACTTTATGTTGACAGAAAAACAAGCTGTTGAGAAAGGAAATCACCCTTTCAGTACTGAAAGTTCTTTCTTCTTTTGAAGAACTTCTTATTTCTCTGATGGAAAGTCAGTCTTTAGTAAATGTACAAAAAGTAGAAAAAAAAACATATTTCTGGGCATTACCATCCTCCATGGTCAGCTCATCTCTTTCTTGATTTTTCTGTTTTGTTAAAACCTCATGTACACAGTGACTATTTCAGTTGTGTTGTCTTAAGCAGTGTGTATATTACTCTGTGTTAAAATAATTTGCCTGACTGCACCATCTCATCCTGAATTAATATTTGAAACACCAAGCAGGAATGTTAACACAGAGGCATTCAAAGCACAAAAACTTTCAAATTGTCCACAAAAGACAAACATTGAGACAAACAAAAGGATTTTCTGCTGATGTCCAACCTGCAGGTCAAAGAAACACAGTTAATGACTAATCTGTCACTGATATTCACAGACTGACATATAGCCAATACTCCACAAACATAACAAAACATAAATTGGAATCAGATATATTTAGCATTCCTTTAAGGCACAATCGTGATTTTAATTAATTCTTTTATATTTTAAGTTTAACAGCAAATTTATGGTAATAAACAGCTTTTTGCCCAGTGGTTACGAATGTATTCTGTTAACCCACATACCATATCTCTGTAAATTTTATCAATGCATTGAATAATTTAATGCAATGATGATGCCTCCCATGCAGCAAATAATGCAGTACTCGCAATCTTACCGCTAACTCTCTGCTCGATCAACGGGATGTGCCGTGCACTGCCTGAACATTTGCCAGCTGTTGCTGGCTCACCTTCATCTGCACCCTCATCATCACAGCTTGCTGCTCGCCCATGCAACTCTCACCTCGGGCATATCTTCTTCCAACGTTATTGGCTTTTCATTTTAGTTGATTTCATTTTAAATAGCATCAAGTCAATATTTCTTTTTTCATTTGCTGTAGAATTAGCCTGACAAATAACATTAAAAAAACAAAACAAAAAAAAACAAAAAAAAACGTTAAAGATTTTAAAAAATGGGCAACAGGGTCATGGAGAATGTCAACCATGGGATGCATTTTGAATGCTTTGTGTAAAGTTTGCTCTTATGTACTCATAAAAGCAAGTATGCATAAATGTCCATATCTAGGTTGATTTCTACCATTTCTTTTTAAATCCTGCCAATTTGTTCTCAGTTTTTATAAATCAAACAAGAGGTTTATAACACAATGAAAACAAACATGTTTACACACATATAAGTACACTTATTACACAGAAAACCCAAATATATCAAATACACTGCCTGGCCAAAAGAGTAAAAGTTACTACTTGATTTTCACAAGCCAATTTGTGAATTTCCTCTTCTGTTCTGGATCATTTTTTTCCCCATCCTTTATGTTCTATCAGTAATGATAGTCAATTTTATATAAAAGTATCACAATTTATGTTATATATCAAACATTGCTTGATATACAAAACTTTTTAAATAATTTTACAATACTTATAAAGTAGATAATAGAGTAATGTTAGGTGTTGATTTTAGACTGATATGAAGTCAGCAATCTTTGTTGGAAAACTTTTGTAAAGTATTTACAAAACCCACCATTAAAACAAACAAACAAAACAAAAAAAACCCACATTTTCTACATTTACACATTTTTTTTCCGGGTCAAAATAAACCTAAAGGAAAATTGAATTTGATGGTAGTGAAAATGAAAATATTAATTTTATGATTTAGTTTCTTACCTATAACTGTATCAGGAACCAGTGGGCCAGCTCTTGCTCGTTTTCTCCTCTCCCCTCCCTTTTCTCCTCCTTCTCCTTTCTCTCCTCCCTCTTCTCCTTCGCCTCCCAAATCCCCCTTCTCTCCTCCTTCCTTTGCTCCTTCCCTTCCTTTTGCTCCCCCTCCTTCTCCCTCAATGTCCTCATCTGAATCTTCAAATGAATCCTCATCACTTTCGACCTCAGAATCTCCTTCCACATCTCCACCCTCATTGCCTCCAGCCCCACCTGCAGCTCCACTCCCATCTCTCCCTCCAACTCCTGCAGCACCTCCTGCACCCCCACCTGCGGCACCAGCTAGACTACCTGCTGCACCGCTTCCATCTGTAGCACCAGCAACTCCGCCTGCAGCATTACCTGCACCAGCACCTCCTGCACCTCCACCTGCAGCACCAGCTAGACTACCTGCTGCACTGCCTCCACCTGTAGCACCAGCAGCTCCACCTGTAGCACCAGCAGCTCCACCTGTAGTACCAGCAGCAGCTCCACCTGCAGCACTACCTGCACCAACACCTACAACCCCCCCTGTGGCCCCACTGGCCCCATCTGCCCCAGCACCAGCTACTTTTTTCTTAGTTTTCCTAACAGCTCCATCTTTGCCAGCGGCCGCTCTCTTTGCCTTTGCTGCAGCTTTGGCCTCAGCCTTTGCTGCAGCTTTGGCCTCAGCCTCTGCCTTTTGCTTTGCTCGGACAGCTGCAGCCGCCAATTCCTTCTCTTCTTGAGCTTTTTTGGCGAGTTGTGCTTTTTCTTCCATTTCTTTCTGATATCTTTCTTGCTGTTCCTTTGCTATTCTCAGCAGTTCTTCATCATTGCCGGCTCCAGCAATGGTGGTTTTCCGTGCTGCCTTTTTGCCCTTTTTGGCTGGATCTTTCTCCACTGTAAAATAAAAATAAAATAAATACGTAAATAAACAAAATTGTGGTCTTGTAACTGTGTTTTCATATTTGAGGTATCTTCGATCGGTCAGAAGCTTATTTCCAAACATCGAAAATGGGCAATAAAAGTTTTCTCACCTTCAACCACAAGCCAGGCATTGCAAGACTTAATTCCTGCCACAGCAGCATAAATGCCACCATCCAGAGGCAGGCAGTCTCGCACAATCAACTTATGGATGAGCTTATCTTCAGATACAATGATCTCATGCTTCTCATTATTTGTCAGCAAAGCGCTTTTGCCATACCAGTTGATCTCATTCATTGGTGCAGTGAGTACACACTGAAAGAGAGCATCCTCTCGTTCTTCCGCCTTGACCTCTTGGATTTTGACAGCAAAGTCAACTTCAGGCACTGCGGAGTTTGAAGAGACAAATGCCTTTCATTACTTCTATTCATGTAATTCAATGCCAACTTATCTAAGTCTCATTGATGGACACTTAGTGCATGTTTGATTCAAACAAACATCAGTTTGACATTGAGTGAGATATTTTACATTTTAAAAGCAAAAAATTTCCCAGCAGATGTTTGATTTTTATTTCATATAAGTTAAATGTCTGTTTCTGTGTCAAGCAGTCAATGACTACGTTCTGTGTCTGTTAATGACCATATCTTTGTATGTTTATCCCAGTTCCTCTGCAATAAAAGAGACATTGCTGCCACCAAATTTTACTTTGGCTTTCATCTTGGATATTTTACCACTGGCTAAGAGTTGATATATTTGACAGTGTTCCTGTCCTATATGCAGTCACTAGAAGATTTACTCCTGCCAATAACTTTTTATGTGTTTTTCTTTCACAAAGCAGGTATTCTTGAGCCAGTTCTGTTTTTGGAGTCAGATGACATTTCTTCTAAATTATCACTGTAAAACCACAGAAAAAAGTGGCACAAATTTTACCTTGTTTTGCTGGTACATCTTAAAGTTTGAATTATGTTATGAATTGTAAAATAAACAACAAACACAAATATTTCAAGTTGCCTTGAAATATTTTAAAGGGTCTTACCTTTAAAATCTGTGGAAAATACATTGACTCCTTCCACATCCACAGAGTAGAGCCCAGCATCATCCTTACTTAGGTTTTTGATTGTGAACACATATTTTTTGCCAACTTGTTTTAAGTTATGCTTCATTTCTTCTCCCTCTTCCTTTGAGAATGGCACCATGACACCATCCTGCAGAGATTTTCAATTATATGATTTTTTTTTTTAATCAAAATTCTTCAAAATAAACAAGGATTGTCCGTGTGTCTCACCTTGTACAGAAATATTTTGCTGCCAGAATCTAAGAGGTCCATATCCAACTCAATTGTTGCACAGTCGTCATCTTTGACCTCAACTGGTTTGAGTGTCCTGATATGCGAGATGAACTATAGCAAAAATAAGCAGGTGGACGTAAATCATGAAAATAATTAGAAAAAATAAATCATGCAGGAGTACTTTTTTGCTTTTGGGGAACATCATAACTCATCCAGAACAAGAAGCAGCAGGAACTGTACCTGTGCAATCTCCTCTTCTCGTTCTTTTTTCATTTCAGTAAGTTTCTTCAACATGCCACGGAAGTCAGTGATGCCATACTCTGCACAGATTCGCTCGTAATCTTTCTTTTCTGCACTAAGCAGGATTTCCCAGACCTTTTCGTTTACATCCATTGTCTTTTCCTCACGAGTTCCATCGGGATTACTGAAAAGTGAAACATTTGTTGTGTGGAGCTTGACTAAAACATTAGTTCTTGTGGTTGAAAAGGTACTAGGCTACCATAAAAGATAATGCATTTTACTGACCGTGTTTTGAGTCTTTTTCTGAACTCTGTCGCATCTAGGGAAGATATGGGACAGTTTATATAAACAGACATTTTCTTTTCATAATTCACTGACTCAAAACACATCTGTCTGCAAGTATGGAATATCTTTCTATCTTTGTTTAAATGTAACTGTTTTCCTGAACATGTTAAACATAGTCATAGATTACTAAATTAAAGTGTCTAGACAAAAGTAAAAAGTAGAAAAAAAATGTTTTGTCACATTTATTTTACATGATTTGTAAGAGATGCCACTAAATGTGGCACTAATTATAAAAAGAAAAAATGTATCTAATATTTTTAAAAGCATAATTTTCACTGAATAAAATTACACAAGTAATTACAGTAATAAAAGTATTATTTTGTCAAAACTTGTGGTAATGTACTGCTGCAATGAAATCTTATTTTAGCCTAAGGCTTTTTCAAAGTCTGGAATGTGTTGTGTAGTAAATCAGCATACTAACAAAAGCAAATGAAAGGACAGTTATGATTTTATATGTGTAAAGATTGGTTGTGTAAGGTTTACCTTCTCCTTGAATCTTTTGAAGTTCCTTGGTCTTAGAGAATCCCACTGTGAACAAACGATACAAAACTTTAATTCTGCTTCACAATGTGTCCACATGATCTAGAGATACCTTAAGCAGAATAAAACAGCTTTAGTTTTACACAGTTAATCATACCCTCAATAACATTCAGAATAACGGTACAAACAGCTCTCCCATATTCATTGGTTGCATAACACTTGTAGGTGTCAGCATCTTCTGGAGCTACCTTAGGGAACTAGTACAAGGGTAAATAGAGGAAATGTCAGTTTATTTTTTAGTCATAATGTCATTGTTTCATTATGTATTAAAGTTTTATATTTATTGTCGATGACAGCAATTTGTATTTTTTGCTTTATTAAAACTTACCTCGAGGGTATGTTCATTTGATGTCGGATCATATTTTTGCTGACACACATCAGGGTGAAAAATGATTTCTCCATTTGCTCTGCTCCATGTTACAGTAGGTGTTGGATCTCCCACCACAATGGCTTTAAAGTATGCAAATTTGCCTGCAACATAGCACTCTTACAGTCAACTTAAAAAGAAACAAACAAAAAAAACTTCAAAATAAATTGGCCATGAACCAAAAGTAAAACATATTATTCAAATGAGTAAATATAGATAATGTTTTAATTGAACAATTTAGGATTTTTTAAAATGTATTTTTAATGTATTTATTTACAAAAAACAATTAGATAATAGTTTGTTTAGTCTGGCTGACATCAGATTCTGTCTCGGACAAAAATATGTGTATTTATGGATATAGTGCTAGTTAAGTAAATATTTAATATAATTGACATACATTGTTCCTGGAACGTGATCATATTTCAGCTCTAGGTTCTTGTTTAATAGGACATGGAATGCTTTCTGTAATGTTTCGGACACTGGTGACTGAGATGATGAAGCTCTCAGACACCTGAGTGAGGGTAACCATAATGATCTCTTAAAATGTAATTGGAGAGATCAAAATATTGCCAAAAGGAAAATAAGAAATCACAGCTTTGTTAAAATTCTAATTGCCTTCTGAAATATTGATTATGACATTGTTTAAAATATTGGTTAATGAAAATCAGTGATGGAATTCTTGTTGCGTATTACAAATATCTCACATTTTCCTGTCTTTATAGTTCTTCCTTAACTCTTTACATGTAACCATTTATCATCATGAATATCATTCTCTGTTTTAGAAGTGGGGCTATATATTTGCAATACATTACCTTGCGGTTGTTTATATTGTCCTACTGCATTGATTTTTCAGCTGTTAATTGTGGTAAGATTGCAGTTTCACAGAAAAAAATTGTCTAAAATTCCTACTTCTTGCAGAGAACAGACATGTGCAAGTGTTTTGAGTTTTTTTTAAAGGGGTGTATTGTTTCTAAAACCTTAACCTTCAAGCCTTTGAGCTCAGATTATCTGTCCCCAACCATTCTGCTCCTTTCCAGGTAATCTTAAAAACACAGTTCATATTTGCAGACAGGAAAATCTTACCCTCTTGTATAGTAAGGGCTATGGGTTTCCGTGTGAAATCTGGAGTTGTTTTTCCTTCAGGAAGTTCCTCCATAAACTGAGTAATCATGACACCAGGCACTTTTGATTTCTTCTTGATGCCTAAATGAATCAAGAACCAATTAAGAACCAATTAATTAGCTTACAAACAGAATGATGCAAAACCAAGTATAAGTGCACAAATAAGCAGCAATTCCTTTAAATGTGTATTTTAATCATTGAAATAGTTTTTTTTTTTTTTTGCTCCATCAGGTACACAACATAACATAAAAAAGACAGTTGAACAGCGCTGAAATTGATTTCATAATGAAAACAAAACAAAAATTAACAGGATGTATGATTGTCTTTTAAGGCCCACTCACACCAGGCTATGACTGCTGTGTGGTCTGAAAGAGCTGCACGAGAGTCCAAACATCAATGGATTGCAGAAAATTTGGAAAACCTTCTGCGGCTATGTTATCTGTCCTGATCCGATTTATTTCCGTCTTCTGCTATCCTGGTCATTCTACCACAGTGCATGAGAATCACATTGATTGGAGGTTTCTGGATCTCCACTGCCAGTTTCAGCCTTACTGTAAAGAATAAAACACATTTAGTGTTTTCAGCATGTTAAAAGACTGCTGTGCACTAATAAGCGTGCCATCTGGAGCACATATTGTAATCTGCTACAAGACTCTATTAGGATACTTGTGAATCAGTCAAGCCAAGCCGCTAAAGCCTTAGGTTGTGATTTGAGTCCCACTGTGAGTGTTGTAACATTAGACTGTAAAACTGCAAAATGATGCATTTAAAGTGCAGCCTGAAAAACTCAAGTCTTTCTTTAGTCGTTCAATAATCACAGCCTGGGGAGAATTTAGAGGTGTGTAATCCTCTCCCTAACTAGGTGTCCTTCTCTAGCAATGAACCAAACACTTACTAATTTATTTGTCAAAGGGGGCCTGAGCACACTCCTATAGCATTGACAAAGAAAACATGAATTGTTCACTACAGCTGACTGCTTATGTCCTTTTGACCGAAGCCAGAGAAGTGACTTAATGTACTGCACATAACAGCCATACTGCCAAGAGAATTATAGTAGCCTTAGGATGAGCTCAGCATGGCCAGTCCAGCTTCAACTTCTCAGAGGAACAAGCCTCACAGCTGTGCCAGCTCCACTGCTGCTGGCGCATTACACTCCCCTATGCCTCTTCAAGGACTTCTATGCTGGCATTACAAATAGAAACCACAACAACTTATTTCCATACATAAGTTCTGTCAAAGTTCAAAACAGTCAGGGAACTCTCATGTGAATAATGAGAAGCTCAGTGCGCTTTTAATATTTAACAGATAAACTCTCCTAGACCCCACAAGGTTTTTATTCCATTGTGCAGTTTTAATCTGGTGCGAGAGGGGCCTAGATATCAGGCATGTATGTTTACCCAAAAGGAGTGTGATCCTGTTGGGAAAATGCCACTAAAGCGGAACAAACTGTGACCCAAACATGCTGTTATACAAACCCACAAAAGATTTTCACTACATTTTGTTCCATTTTACTAACCTAACTGATAGTTTTATTTTAGCCAGCTAAAGTGTGAAGGGAATGGATATTGGTTGGTTTCATCTTGGTTTTAAAACCAAGATGAAAACTACGTAAAAGGAGAGATCACATTTATTCTACTTTAGCTTCTCTCTATTAGCTCCCTGTTAAATTCAGAATATAATTTAAACATCTTTTTGTACATCAATGATTTGATTGTTCCATATGTTAGTAATGGGGTACTTTGCTTTCAAACTGCAGGTTTATGGAACATTTGCACTTGACTCACCCTGCAGTTACAAAAAGCGACAGATGGAGCAGGAAGATAATAAAAGCTAAAAGTGGGAAAAGTTGCTCTAAGCAAGTAAAGAGCAAATTCAGAGATCTGGAATTTTTTTTTAACTGGTAGCATTTTAAAATATGTTGGGGTACTTTGGGCACTGGCCTCTAATTAGAGTCAATTAGTTGGATTGGATCAGGCTCAGACACAATGTTTATGGGGTCCAGCTGGGTTGGGTTGTATTTTTAGGCCCGAGCTAAACTCAAAATGTTTTTTTTTTTTTTTTTTTTTTTTTTTTTTTTTTTTTTTTTTTTTTTTTTTTTTTAGTAAATCTCTCACAAAGCCCTGAAAGCTGTAATAAAGCTGTGGCTAAATTGCAAATGGCTGTATGGTCTTTTATTATGTGACTTTTTAAAGCAATTCGTTGGACTGGATGTTATATAGCGAAGAGTAAAATTGATTTTCAAATGGTATTTTCCACTTTTCAGATTTTTATTAGAAATCATTTGTGAAAACCATGTGCTCATCCATATAAAATACGTTGAAGGTTGGAAACTGTGGAAACATTCAAAGAGTATCAGTTATTTTACAAGGCTTGTATATGTCGGGGGTGTCCGTTAAGCTGCTTATCATAAGCCTTCAATGTAGGGGTAAAAAAAATCACTACACATTTTGTGGTTTTTGTATCCAAGCGACTCCATGTCAACTACATGTTAGAAAGCATAAAAAGGTCAAATGTTTCAGAAGTATTTATTATTATTATTATTTTAAGTTTTTTTTTTTAATATATATATTTTCTTTGAGAAACAACAAAAATTTATAATTAACCTTCCTTGTGGGTAAACAATCCAAAATTTGACTTATTTTGAGCTTAATGAGAATAACAATAGCATATTTTATTAGTCACTTTCTCTGGATTGTCATGTTGTGTGATGTTTCCTGCAAAATATATTCCTGAGTTGAGCTTGAAGGTCATATTTGTATAGGACAGATCTGGATTCAAGGTTGTCAGTAAAAAGTGGCATTTTCCCATCGACTCTCAAGCTGAAGTAGAGACATCACAATCATTCAGAACGCCTTCTTGTAACAGCTTGTCACAAGTTTTCACATGGTATGAAGGTTGTCACAATGAAATGGATCCATTGTGCCACAGAAAGGTTTGTCATCCATTTTTGGAAAGCACCTTTCAAGGTTGAGGACAGAGATGAGGATAATGAAGATGTAATTTTTCATGCAACGAAACCCAGCATGGCATCATGCATGCAGAAAATTATTCATTTGTATTTTCATTATCTTTTTTCCTTGCATACCTTTGTCATCCTGGTGTACTCCCTCAGAACCGTCGATTTAACACGCAACATGACAGAAGGAAAAGGCACAGGACAGGTAAATATAAATCCTGACAGAAGAACCATGGCAGGTTGGAACTTTGACAGGATTAAGAACACAGAAGAAACACAAGGGACCACATAATATAAACAGTTTGTAACCCAAGGTTGGGTGGACAAATACAACACATAATATCTGCAGATCAAATATGCAGAGACTGACAACACAACAAAAACTATTAGTGATAGACAAAAGATAATGCAACATGTTAGCATATGGCTTGGAAGAGTTGTGCCGTGCAACTGTTAAGACTCAACACGAAGCTTTCTTACATAGTTCCACATTGCAGACTTCTCAGGATGATTTCTGCTTGGTGCTTGAGATTAATTCAGGTAATACTTGGAGAAAAGCAGGTTGTAAGAACATCCATTTTAGAAAGATATTGTTTCAATTCCGTGACTATTTGAAAGCATCCCTAATGTGGTGTATTGACTCCCATGTCGCCATCAGGTCATGTGTTGGACGTTCAGTAATTTTTTTGTTACCACATTTCATCAGGAACAGAGAGGTTTCCTGTTTCCTGGTTACATCTTGGTTTAATTCAATCTTCTTTGACTACATTTTTTGATTCTGTTCTTGGGAAAGAGAAAAGCACCATAACCAGAATGCAATTCTGACCGGTGTAACTTGATAGTTGTTTCTTGTCTTTGTGATGCATGAATTGGGTGATCTCACCATTTCTGTCTGTATCTTCTTTGGTGAGATATCTTGGCATTAAAGGTTAAAGAGCAACTAAATTGTCACTGACAGTTTGAGTTCCTCCACTTAATTTTATTTCCTCTGCAATTATTAGCTGTTCCCGGCATTGACCAAAAATTGTTGGGTTCCACATCTTCAAAGATCTTTCAAGACTCGATGACATTGGTACTGTCTTCTTTGTCGTTGCTGTTTTGAGTATTTCCATGTCTTGTACATATTTGGTTCTTGGTGGCAATCTTAAATGACGATGAAGTTTACTTATAAAGTGTAGTTAAGTTGTATTATGTTGATGATCTCTGGAGTAAAAGAAAATGTAAGGAGAGGCAGCTAGAATACCAACCTTTGGCTGACTTCTGTACTTACCTGCCTGCCCAGTGGCAGTTTCATCGTCCACCTTTGTCTTCTTCAACATCTTTATTTCCTCTTCAGATCAGCAGATTCAGAGGACTCTGAACAAAAGACAGAGAGATACAACAAAAACTCTTAGCACCTCATACATACATATCTCATATTTTCCCCAGATTTTGAGGAGACAGACTTAGAGATGGCTTATATCTTATTATTAACGAATTCTCTTTGAAAATATAAGCACAGACCACTCAAAGATTCTTACAGAAATATCTGCCATTTTCAGAACATTTTTTTAACTTCAAGTTCAAAAAGCTTTTTAGTTATACCACTCCTGCCCACTGATTGCAGTTTCCAAAACCTGACGGTAAGAGGCAGCAGCTGGTGTTATTTACAGTAACTTGATCATAACATGATCTGAGTTCCTGTCTCATGAGGTCTTCACAGGCAGCTGTAAATTAAGCACAGATTTTAGTGAAGCCTTAAAGATGCATGAAGAAGAATTGAATATTTAAAACTACATAAAGTGGCAGTGTTTGGGCATTTGAAAAGAATTTACATATTTTTAGAACAAAAAATCTGCAAGAGAAGCTACTTTCAGGTATAAAAAACAACATTTGCTGGTACAATACCCTGGGGAATGTGCACAACTTGGCAAAGCTCTGCGTACTGAAGCAACAAAGTAATCTGTAGCTTCATGCAGACATGAACTGACTAAAACGGTCACACTTCTTATCATGAATTTTGACAAAAGCCATCAGTGTGGTTCTTTTTAACCTGGGAGACGTTTCCAGACTCAAAATTGACCACCATTAGACTGTCGGCGGACTTTCAGTTGAATGTCTGCCAAAAGTCCACTGACTACTTTCAGCAGACTTTCGCATTTTATTCAAAACTAAAAAGCTATATAATGGTTATGCTAGGTCCGTGAAAATGCTAACATAGCAGCAATTTTATTGGAATGCAAGGTTTTCACGAGGAACAGTTGTCTTCCATTACCATGGGATATTAATCCAATGTTGCAACAAATTTTAGAAGAAGAAAAGCCAAGCTGGCAGTAAGTATTACAATAGAAATGACTCTCTAAACTCCTATTCTTTATATGTTTGGAACGACACCGTTTGGTTAGTTGGTTTGGAATTTACACTCTATCCATTTTAGTCTCATCTGTCCAGATTGAAGTTTTTTTTTTTTGCTGAAGAACGCACGCACGCACGCACGCACGCACGCACGCACGCACGCACGCACGCACACACACACACACACATTTGTCATCTCTGTAGATGACAAATGTGACCCCTTTCTTTCTGTGTTCAATCCTTTATCTCTCTCTTAAGCGAAGGCATTAAAGATGTTGCTTCATCTAATTCTATTTGTATTGCATCCCATAGATTTTACCCCTAACTCAGAGCTTTTTTGAATTGTTCCTCTCTTAAACAAAGGAAGTGTTGCTCTTTTCTTGAGTTTCCCTCTGTCTTCTTAAATCTCTAGTCGATTGTGACTTATAACTGTTCACACTGAACCAGGTTCTGCAGTAGTTTTCTTTCTATTAAAAGGAAGTCTTCTTTTCCATGTTCACAATATCCATGCACATTATGAGCAATTTCTGCAAAGTTAATAACTGAATGCTTTAAAGTCAGTAGCTCAGTTCAGTTGGGTGGGTTTCCTTGTATATATTAATAAATTGAAATTAATTGAACTGAAATCTAAATCGGTTTTGACTGTAAAACGGACACCAAACAATATTGGACGTGCATTTGATTTACTGTGGACATATTCAAAACGTTATAATTTTGTATACACTTTAGTAGCATACAAAATTATAAAGCAGACACACATTTGAAAACATTAATATGTACACAAATATCATTGGGTAATGTTCTTAATCTTTTACTGTCTATATAACTTGCCTTGGGCTATACTTAACCAATTCCTGCAAAAAGAACAAACAACATCTTAAAAGAAGAGTTTTCTGAAAAGTCTCTGAAGTCATCGCACAACACAAAGTCAGAACATACTTAATATAATAGCAGTACGTGACATCCAGCTTCCACCCACTTCAGCTGACTGCACCACTGACCACATACTCTGAAAATGGCATCTAGTAGCTTCTCAAATGTCGCTCCTTGCTTTTTTTCCTCCAACATGTCAGTGATCACAGCAGGGTGAACAAGACAGAAAGTGGCTTGAGCAATGTAACTCACAAAACTCAGCTTAATGGTAAGACCTTTGGTGACAAATGAGCTCTAATGGTGCTACATGAACCTCCCTTTGGATTTGCTCATGTGTTCAAAAATAGCATGATGTCAAATTGAAAAAAAATAAATAAAATATTTTCTCCGTTTTAGAATTTTTTTATTTGCTTTATTTAATTGCATTGAAGACATTTATGTTTCTAACGATGATCTTGATATGCATACATTTTAAGGTGTACCACCTAAAGATGCATGGAGAAGACAATATGAAACACAGCTCTGCAGATTCTTCAACGTCAAAAGAAATTGATCACTTGCCAAACTACAGTCCACTTCTTGCTTCCCAGCCCCTAAAGCTCAGGTTACTATTGAATTGATACCTTCATCTAAACTTAGTTTTCATCCAACAGCTTCACATCTCTGTCCATATTTCACTGATCCAACCTCTTTAAAAGTGTGAAATTTAAGCTCTGTAACCAGCATAAGGTGATTTCAAGCATCAGAAGCAAATATGCAACATTTAATCTACAGCCTAATGAATAATGTTTTAAAATACTTTGCAATGTAATACTAGGTGTGCAAGGTATTGAGTTTAAAACGGCAAGCTTTATTCTTGGACAAGGATAACACTCATGTTTTTTTTTTACAGTTCCACTGCAACTGCCTAGACTAGTGCACTTATCTTTTCTATCCCATCATTCAACACGAAGCATTAATCTGGATGTTAGCATGTGGAAACATGCAAAAAGTATATATCTTTTTTACTCCCCTGCTCTGTAAAATTTCTGATCAAGCTTTCATTTTGTGGACCACCTACCTGTTCCCTTCTCTTTCAGACAGCACTCTGGTCACACTGTGCCTTCCCCTATTTTTTTTAACCGTAATAGATCCTTCCTGCAGCTTGCAAAGCAGTGCTTGATGCTTTACTTCAGCTCGGACCCAGTGACTGCCAAAATCCATTTAGGCTTTTTTCATGTCAGTGATGACTCCAGAGGCATTAGAGGTCAAGTGGGCGGTGAAGCAGGGTAGGTGAAATACTTCGTAAAGATTTTTTTTGTACTTCAGTCTGGATATGCAAGCTTGGCTCTAAATTTGAGGTGAAAAAATGCCCTGCAGCTTAGAAACCATGAATGTTTAAGGCGTGGCATCCTTAAATTTTTATTCTCTTATTAGAGGTGCGATGCTCAACTGCAGAAGTTTTCTTTTGGATAAGTCTCTAAGTGCACAAAAATAAACATTTGTGCACTCTTCTGTGTGCTGCATTGCATTTATAATTTCACAGTCTGATTTAGACATTCACCTCCAGTAATTGATTCTTGATGACTTGAACATAGCAATTACTTTCCCGACAACTTTAATTAACAAAATAAGCTGTCTTGAAATGGCTGATATTGATTTGAAAAACTGGGGTGGAAATAATGACAATAATGTCTATTGGATGAAGGTTGCTACTTAGAGAAACTGTCATCTTTGACAATTTTTGCTGCAGACACTTTAGAACTGAAGCCATAATCCATATAGTCTTATAATTAGAAGTGGTCAGACAACAATAGTATTCAAAATATCATATCACTTGAAGAAAGCGTACTTAGAGTTAGCTGGAAACATGTTTGTCTATTAAAGCCTCTGATACTACATTTAGTCATTGTGAGTAGATGTATTATTTAAAGAGAAGGGAGAAGTTGCCAGTCACTGTCCAGAAACACTTAAATAAAGAGGCACATTATTCCATCCCATCGCATGTTCAGCCTTTACTGGAGCCAGGAAGGCTATGTTGTTTCTATTTCCAACTGAAATTTGATCTAAAGCATCCACAATCATAATTTACTCAGACAAATAAACATTCACCTTCACAAATTCACATGCAGTGGGAGACTATTAAAAGCGCCTTTAGACAAACATTGCAATTTGATCCTAAGCATCCAACATCCAGTGACTAAGTGATATCCAATTCTATTTGTACTCTTCCTACAGTATCTGTTCTTATTTACTCAGTATTTAAAATTTACATCCCCAGTAGCATCAGCATGTCCATATCGTGAATATCAGTGTTTTGTTTTATTCTTCATATAGAAATTGGTAAAGCCACCCACAAATGTTACCAATGTTACCAAATATTTTTAAACAGACACAGTCTAGCATTCCTCTTTTAAATGTGTTTCTTTAGCCACATGCCAGTCTTACAGCATTCCCCAAATCTTTATGGCTTTAGCAGTAAAGTTTGACTTCAGCACACAACAACAACTATAAATCTGAAACACTGTACGCAAAGAATTCTACTTCCAAGTATCATCTTCCAGGGGATCTTAGATCTGTCTGTTTAGACTCAGAAATAGAGTAAATTTGTAGCTGATAGTGCATTACCACATACAAACTTCATGTCAGTATCTCAGGAGGTTTTAGTTTCTGCAAATTTTGACTTGCTTTATTATTGCATTATGTATTGAATACATTGACTCGGTCAAGTTTCTCTGGTTATGTTTAAAGATATATGATTTGTTGTGTTGTGTAATGTATTGTTTACTGGTTTTATCAACTGTAGACTGTGTGATGTTTTTATAACTTAAAGCTCTTTGAACTGCCTTGTTGCTGAAATATGCTGTACAAATAAACTTCGCCATTGATCACCAGGAAGTAGTAACTGATCTGAAATGTATTGTAAGTATTCACATAGAAATGTAAAGATTTAGCAATTTCAATAAATTAGTTATGATTTATAACATAAATTAGTTATGATTTATAACTCACCAAATCTTAGCTAATGTTCTTTCTCAGAACTCTTGCCTCCAACCCACCATCCAGTTATAAAACTATATTAATTATAGAACATCACAATCCTTAATTTAAGTCTGCTTCCTCCATCAGTATCTCTTCTGCTCTTGTCATTAATCCATTTGAGTCACAATGGTATGTCAGAGCTTTACTACTACAAATTAAGTGTATATCCATTGCAGTATCTCTTATTTGTGTATTGTGCATCTTTTGGTTGAGTAATGTTTGAAATTTAGAGAACATTGAGACGATTCATAGTTAAAATCAGTCTGACATGAAACCAGTTTTCCTCCAGCCAGTGGTGCAGGTCACTAGATTTCCTCTTCTGGGTGGCTGCCCCATATTTTTTGTCTAGATAATTTTAATAGTCTCATAATCAGAGAGACATTTTTATCAGCTTCTCGTAATGTTTTAAAGCTTCGGGAAATGCACCATGCGATCAGGGAAATTGATGCCTCCAGTCCTTGTAAGAGGCGAGGGGCTGATGAGGTCCCAACATGAGCTTGATTTACTGCTCTGCTAGCTTTACAATGCTAACACACACAGCTTGGGACTCAGGCCACAGTAGCAGATTGCTAAATCTGGAAGCATTTTCTATTCCTTAGAATGTAAAAAAAAAAAAATATGTACCCGAGTTAATGCAGTTTTTTTACAGGTCAATTCTCATTGCAAGTATGCTACATATATAAGATGGAAATGTGTTGGTGTAAAATAGGTTTCTGTGCTTTTTTAAAAGTTCAATGGCAGAAAGGCAAAATTATTTCATGTCTGGCTGTAGTTGGCCTCCGTCTGACCCCTGAACTTATATTTCAAGCACTCGCATATTCATACATTGAGCAATGAAAAGCTGCTAAACTTCTTACTTTATCCACAATAATGTAATGCTTGCTCTTCACAGTTCTCTGATCTTAAAGTGGTACCCATCATGTTCCTGTCACAGACTCAAGAGCATGGAAAACTCAAATTGAGATGAATCGCACTTTTAAAATATTGCTTTACTACATCACCAGAAGACATTGATCAAAGACAACTTTGACTAAAGCAGCTAGCTCAAAGAACCTTTGATTAGATTTGTGTGAAGTATGTGGAGTTAACTCGGCTTAATGTTAAATAAACACATGCTTACAAAGTCATTCTAAAACTATTCTCACAACGGAAGCAGCACCAGTGAAGTTTGTATTACAAACCCTTCAATTACAGTCTTGCCTAGCATCAAGCACCGTGTGATGTTTAGCACGCTGTGTGCCGTCTGTGGTTAAAATGTATTTCACTTTGAAAGTGGTGCACTGTGATGCATAGTCAGCAGCAAGTTAACACACAATGTCTGTCAAATTGATTTCGCGGTCAATGTGAAAGTGGAGAATCTTTACAAGCCCCCAACTGATTAGTGGATCACACCTCTCAATTTTCGTTTGTTGTTTCTCCTTCTATCGGTTCCATTTACATGATGAAGTTCTTTTGGTAGTTTTAGCAAACAGTGGCATCTTCAATGATAACACAAGGAATGGGATGTGCTATACTTGATATAGTTTGTGCACATGGAAGTTGTTAATTTGAAAATCCCCACTTGTTTTGACTGTGCACCAAAAAGCTGTAAAAAAAAAACAAAAAAAAACAGGGCTCCCTGCTGGCTGCTGCAGTAGACTTTACACATTCTAATTCTCTGGTATTAAAGTTAGACAAGTGTAGTTATTAACATCTTGTAAATGAGACAAGAACCCAAGATCACAAAGCTGAGTAAACAGCTTGGATGACTGTTTTCTCTCTGCTTCTGCACTAACCTGCAGCTAGATATGTGGGTTTTCTGATTTATGCTTTCTGTTAAAGAAGTGTATATAACTGACAGATTTAATAACTTTTTGAAACAGAAAAAATAAGTTTTGTGTGAAATGTATTTCTCAATTCATAATTAGAAGTTGTTTTATCTTCAAGGCCCCATGAGGTCAAGCATAGGTTTGCCTGGAATTCAATTACAGTGCAGGAAAGAGTAGGAGTCGTTTGGAATGACTCTTTCCAACGAAGAAGCAATGTGGTTGTTATTCCACAAAATTAATTAGAAATAAACACTAGACACAAATACTTTTTTAACATTATGTTTTCTATACACTGCACAGCCAGAGTAGGAAACCCTTCTTGTTTGTGCTATTTGCTTATCTTTCACCTGCTTTAGCCTTCTCTTCCCTCCTACTTTCCTATCATGGCAGTAAACCCAGTGCTGTTTATGTCATGCAGCACTTGGAGCACTCATAATGGTGCCACCTGTTTCTGGTGCATGCCGCAACACTTAACTTAGGATACTGCAAACTTGGCACTAGTAATGTACTCCTCTCACAACAGTATCTTTTTACTGGCGACATGAGTCCAATTACTTCTACTAGATCCACTGCAAACATAAGGAAGACTTAACCTGAAGAAACTGAAACATATGGGATAATTGCCTCAAAATGTCTCTTTTATGTCTCATCTGTTTTTTTCCTTCATGTACTTTTGAAATGTTTTATGAAAATGTTATGATGTAACATGTTTATTAATACAATAAGATCCTTAATCCGAAAACCTGGCAGTGATGAACACTGCTAGGTGTTTGTTTAACCTCCTTCTGAAAACTGTAGAAGTGTTAGATTTTGTGATAATCTAGTGTTAATCTGTGGTTAGAGGAAGGCTGCTATCCTTGAAGGTGTCATGATTGGTGGTGGTAGTGGTGAGGAGAGAACGTTGAGACCCAGGTTATAGTGAAAAGATGATGATTTAATGAAGTGGCTCAACACGGTCCAAGTCAGGCAGCACGGCAGGAACAATTAGCTCACAGCTAACAACCGGTAGCAACTGACAATGTGAATCTTGAGCTTAGCAAACCAGGACTGTACAGTTCTACTGGAAAGCATAAGACAAACGTTAGACAACAGTAGACACGTTAGACATAGACAAGGACCCGACGAGGAACACAGACAACTGGTGGGTTTAAATACACACGGGGTAATTAAGGGAATGAGACACACCTGGGAAACAATCAACGGGGACGACGCAGAGACAGACTCGCAGGGAACAGGACTACACAGAAACTCAAAAATAAACACACAGAAACACGGATCGTAACAGAAGGGATGGAAGGCTGTCGCAACTTATTTCTTCTAATGAAAACTGTATGTATATATTATATATTGTAACCTTCTGTGGGTTGTTATCAAT